AAAAAAAATTGCCTACTGAAAGTGAGGTATTTTATGATGATGTTTGGAAGAATTTCGTTGCTTTGTGCATCAGTAACGAAAAAACTACTAACAGAAATTAATTCTCAACTGTTAGCTACAGGAACATGACGTTACAATCATCTTTGGAAACGTTCGAAGCACTAAATTTGATCCCTGGAAATACAGCATTGTTTGGGAGTCAAACTTTTCTGGTGTACAGCAAATATTTGGGACATATGGGTTGAGGCCTGCGGTGTGAACTAATGACTGGAAGAGTGCGTGGCCGTTTGCGAACTGAAATAAAGTAAATTATAGATACTTGGGTGAAAGACGGGTAATTTTAACGTTTTTAATGTGTCTTTGATAGTTCCTTGATGATTTAAATTTTGCAGACAAAGGATGTCAAAAAGTTGTATTTTTGTTCAGTTATATTTGTTGTAGGAATTTACCTTCTCTAAATGAAATGCGCATGTTCCGCTGCAGTAGTTCGCTTCAAAGGATGCAGGTTGCACCACGTAGTCTCCCCATCCTATCTCTTCAAAGTTGATTGTCATTTTTCGTTTCCCACATTTCTGAAATAGTCTGACGCAACAAATGTGACATTTCTGTTTTTTCTTTTTTTAGTTAGAAGTATTATGAGTGCTTTAGGTAGTTGCAAAATATCATCTGACAAATAACTGGCGACTGTGATTTGCTGCAATTTTTGTGGCTTCTTACCTCGCTAGTGTGCACATCATCTAGTAGTACCATGGCCAGTTCGTTGCTGCTCGAGCTTTGATCTTTGTTTTTCAGTTTTGCTGGTTGATTATCCTCAGCCGTAGTTCCAAAGCCCAACATTAAGTCGTTCTTATCGTGCGGTGACTTCCTTCGTCGATTTGAATGTTTCATATTCTACAACGCAATGAAAAGCTCATCCAAAGAATGTGCTAATTGTTTCCTGAACATCTTTTTCAATTTAGGTTTTCAAAGCAGTTTTTCTGTTTACAAATAGAATGAAAACTGAGGAGGCTATGGCTTCCGAAGGCGGTCAATCGGACTGATTTGTTTAATTAGGTAAACAAGTTCTGTCTTCGTTTTCAGTGCAGTACTTAATGTGTATGGTTGTAGGATGGTTACTTTCTTCGTATTTCACTTGAAAAGAGGGATTAAGCACATCGGCGATAGTGTCGTTGAGCTTCAAAATATTTTTCAGAACAATGTTGCTATTGCAAGCAACATCTGGAGTTTACTTATACAGCTTTGGTTGTTTCTTTTTTGTGAAGTTTGGTAAAGGAAACAGTTCTGCGTTTATCGGTCTTAAAAATTATAAGAAACTGTTTGCTAATTTGCAAAACCTTAATTCGGCGTCGTAGAATTGACGGTCCTCCAGCACGAAATTTTTCCAAATGTGTCTTTAATAATTCTTCATCTGTTGCTTGGTTGTTCTTATTTCTGTATACGTAATAATCAGCGTTTCTCTTCTTCCTTACTTTTTTTTCTGAAAACACTAATTCTTTTATAGCTCTAGAGTTATAAAAACGAGTTCCTACTTACTTATCGAGTCTAGCCAAACAGCTAAACGCTATAAGAATTTTATTTTTAGCAATCATTACAAGTATGAAATCTTTAGCCGATTTTTTAGTATTCGTCAGTGGTACCTTGTAATTTTTGATTTACTTTTCCAATAAAATCGTCTTCAATTTCGGCGTTATCTGACTGTGAATAGATCAGCAAAAATGGTGCATATTTGGTTAGGACGTCAAAACTTCTCATTGTCTGGTTTTTTTTCAAAACCTAAAGCTCTTATTATTTCCACTGTGATAGAAGAGAATACAAGTTGTACAAGTTTTACAAGTTGTACTTCATTTTTTTGATGTTGTTCGGTAGCTTTGTATAGAATTTTTGTAGTTTTTTGTTAAAAAATATAGAAATTAAGATTAAATATTTTTAAATTTAGAATTATCGATGCAAAACTACAGTAACATTTGAATATTGTAGTTGTGATGCGTTTTTGGCTTACCTGTAAACGCATCTTGGTTTCGTTGTGACTTCTGAGTCCTTGCAATAACCGGGCTGCATCGTAAGCTAACCATCCATCTTTACTTACAAGAAGATCCAGCTGATCTCCAGCTGCATTTAGCAGTCCAATAACTTTCAATAATCGCTTTGACTTTGTTTTTGACAGTGGCTTTTTGGAACGAGCATTAAAGTGCACTTCAACCCGGATTAGCTAAAATATCTGTCTCAGTTACTGTCAGTTTATTTTTGCAATAAACATTTGTTATTTATTTTGTAGCATTATTAGTGTCCAAAAACGAAGTGGTGGAGCTTTATTTATGTAGACCAAAGTTGTAAATCATTTGTGTCCTTTAACCGAGGCGTTTTTGAGGTTATTTCCGACAAAGTTTACTCACTTAGTAATGTAAAAAGATAGAAATCAACATTACTTCAAATGGAACTGAGTGTTTTAAAAAAGAGGAAAAAACAATTTCGGTAACTAATTTAGTAGGTTGGCTCTACAATGTTTGCTGAGGAAAAAATAGTTTTTATTTTTTATGTTTTTTTTAAACGACCATATAAAACATACATTTTCATCTTTTCTGATCGAACCGACGTCAAACAAAACCGTATCCTTATTGTTGAAAATTTCTGCAAAAGAAGTTTTAGTTTTCTTTCCTATTTTCTTTTTTCACAATTACTTTTGTTGATCAAATTAATTAAAGCATTTAGTTCTCTGATCTGTGCTATGTGTCCGCTCAGCTCTTGATGTTTATTAGACAATAATTAATATATCAGCCAAAATAGCAAAAAGAGGACGATCATGTATAGCGTCCGATCTTGGGGAACCGTGTGAGTATTATAGACAGAATATGACAACAACAATACAGCAATTTGGTTAATATTTACGGTTTCTGATATGCATGAATCTTTATTTTTTTTTACTTTTTAATTTCATTGTTTCATTTTTACAGGAATAGTTGTAATAGTTCAAGCATTTGACTGCAGAAATTGTTGTTTGCATTCAGAACTGGAGAAAAGGAGGACTGAAGTAAACAAATAAAGGAGGATAAGAGGAAAAAAAAGAAATGCCAACCTGTTTGGGGGCTAATACTTTTAATGGTTGTCGCATCATTACTGTATCGTTTATTTTTACTGTAAAACTTAAACAAACGCTGCATATACTTCGTTGCAGCATTGGATTTTCGAAAAATAACTTTTAAGCTATTGTCATCTGCAAACAAGCAAAGATGAAACACAGCAGTAATGCTAATTTGTGAAAAGCTTTGCTTTATGTCCTCAAGTCTTGACTTTTTTTTTAAAACCAATTCTCGCGTCATAAACGATCACAGAAATTTTGTTTGCAAATTTTGAAGACGGAAAAAAAATGCACTAATACATTTTAGAAGTTTTTGCAATTTTAAATTAAGATTAAATCGTTAATCAAATACATAACTTTTGCAGTGACACTGGTAGCGGTTTTAAACAACCTCGGTAAAACTGATCTACACTCAGTGACATACTTTTATAGTTCAATAATTTAAAGATTAAACCAAACCTGGAATCGATAATTTATCGATGTCTAACAAATTTTTAACAACAGTTTTTGAAGCATCTTTATGATTTTGGTTGAGATCAGAAAGCTTTCCAACAACAACGCATAAGCAGTTCAGCGCTGTTAATAACCGCAAAAGTTGGACGTAACAAACTTTCATAATCCTCCTCCTCCTCCTTCCAGCAAATAGCCGTTTTGTTGTTTAAAATAGAGGAGAAACAAAAAACTATAATTTTATTTTTCTATTTTCGCTATCTGAAATGGAAAGTGATCAGTGACTTAGCAGTATATTCTCCAAAAATTTCTCAAGATTTACTAATGTTCAACTGAACAAAAAAAAAATGAAGCAACTCAAGCAAACGATATTGAGGTGTGGTGACGATATCAACCAATAAGTGAAGAAAATAGATAAGGAACAAAAAATGTGCATGGAAAGATATAAAATTTGACATTAAGAAGACGGTAACACTGAAGGCGAATATTCGTGTTTATTATTTCAGTGAAATATTTGGTTGAATATAATTGTAAGAGGTCGGAAAAGGATTTTTTTCTCTTCTTCATCTTTTTTTTTTCAGCCAGTGATTCAGATCAATCAGTTTTGAAACAGTAACCATATTCTAATTTTTTTCTTTCTGCTTTCTTTAAATATAGTAATATTAGTCTTTCGAAAAGATCAAAAGGTGTCGCTGGGATTTACCAGATCATGAACTTTACTTGGAAGATCTCACCCTTCCCCTAGCTTTTCGTGTCTTTAGACGATTTTGCACTGCACGTAAAACTGGCTTAAAATTATAATAGCTTTCTTCTTACATCATTTCTGAACTCCTTAAGCATAGACCACTTAATGCCGTTGGCACCTAAAATGTATTCAAAAAGCACTCTTCAATTGCGAAAAAAAGAGGTGCAGAATTATTGAATATGCTCACGTATGTTCGTATTGGAAACAGAATTTATATATGAAACTAATTTGTAAAATAAAATTTCAAGTAGATTTGTAAACAGCTAAAACTTATGTTCGTTTTTTTCTCTGCTTAACCAGAAGAAAGCACAAAAGGCAAACCGATGTTATTTCATAGTATTAATGTTTTACAGCAGAATTTTTTTTGCAAAATCTTATGGCTAAAGCAGCAATGACGAGCCGGATGAGAATGGTTGATCAGATTTACTAAGTTAGAAAACTGTTAATATTCATGGTTAGCAGGGAAAAAAAAGCAAGTTTTTTTTACCACGCTAAACCATTTAAGTTAGTAGTTTATCATAAGAGAGAAGATAACTGGAAGAAGTAAATAATTAGTAAAAAAACTGCCATTTTTCTAAAGCTGTGTTATCCTCATCATTATCTGTATCAAGTTTTACAGCTTTAATATTTGACGATCAGTAAGCTGCAATATTTTCGGAGCGCTTCATAGCATTTTTTCAAAAACAGTTCATGCAGTTTATACTATTTTCTATGCTGAAGAAAGCCACAATAATCATTGGTAATGAACCTGTCCGGCAAAACTAGACAGATTCTTCAAATATGCC